ATATGATTGCTGACTTTCATGCTAGCATTATAGGTCCCAGGTGGGAAAAACATGAGCTCAAATCAAGGACCGTGGCGGGCAGCATGTCCAATCAGAAAACAGATGCCCCATATCTCAGAAAAACACAGTAGTTGTTTAGCAACTGTTCAAAGTTACATCAGTGTAAAAAAAAAAAAAACAGCTTTGCAACCAATCCTCACATTTATGACCATGGCAGCATCCCACGGTCATGCAATCGCTATTTAGCATTTCACAACCAGCACACTTTACAACCATTGCAGTGTCCTGTGGCCACAGGATTGTCATTCACATGCTTCACAACTGGCTCCCAACAAGCAGAGTTAATAGAGAATGCGGAAATAAAATCTCAAGTTGCGGTCACATCATGTCTCACTTAATGACCAAATGAGAAGTGACAGCATAAGTCCGTCATAATCACATGATTTTCCACTTAGTGACCATGGCACTTAGCAACAGAGATGCTGGTCCCAATTGTGGTTGCTAAGCAAGGACTACCTGTATACACTTCTGGTGGAAGTGAGAGGAAGACGAAGAGAATGCACGTATTTGAGAATGTTGAGACAGCTTGTCTCTTTTGCAGCACAGTTGGTGGGAGGGTGTCAAGTTGCAGAGAAGGAATATTCCCCTTGTATGATACCTTTAACTATTCAGCAATACAACAGCATTTAAAACTAATATCTAAAATACTTGGATAAATGATTTTAAGAGAATTCTCTATCTGAAAATGTTATTTTGCCAATCACTATCTATCTGATCTTTAGTGTATGGAATTCTAAGAAAGGTCTCTGAGGAAGACAAGGGCCACATGCAAAAGAAATATCTCTTTTCAGATATTTAGCGTCTAGGTCACTTTTAAAGATAAAAGAGCACTTTGAATTGTTCTGGAAACAGCTCAGGAACCAATCTAGTTGTTTTAAAATGGGCTACATATATTTCACTCTGCTCACTTACATTTATTCAGCAATCTTCTAGAGCCAAAAGGGAGTGAAGGAGTGTTCCCTCCTGAAATGGAATATAGTATTCTATTCCTACTATTAAAAGAATAATGCTTCCAGTCTTAGGAAAAAACTATATGTTATAAATGCAGCCATTTATATCATTAGCCCAAATACCTTTTTCTTTATTACAACTTGTTCTAAATAAGGGGGTGATATTCAGAAGGGGTGGAATGAAAAGATGGCTTAACAGCCAGCTGTTTTCCCCAGTATCTCCTCTTTCTGAAAAATGTTTACCTCACAAATACTGGTCTGTGAGTCAATACTGGGGAAAGTAGTATAGATGCAGAAAGGGAAGTTTCAGAGGAATACTGTAGCAACTTACAGAGGAAAATTAAGTACTCCCTTTCCTCCACACACCTTCTCTGTGCAAAGGAATCCCAAGAATACTTTGCAAAAAAACCAAAAAAATTGCGGGGGGAAGGAAGGAATTGGATTGTTATACGAGGCTACAATATTCAGGTAGTCCTCACTTACCAACTGCCTTGTTTAGCGACCATTTGAAGTTATTACAGTGTAAAAAAAAAACAGCTTTGCGACCAATCCTTGCATTTATGACTGTTGCAGTGTCCCATTTGCATGATCACCATTTAGTACTTCGCAACCAGCACACATTTACGACTGTTGCAGTGTCCTGTGGTCACAGGATTGCCATTCACATGCTTCATAACTGGCTCCTGACAAGCAGACTTAATGGAGAACATGGAAGTAAAATTGCAAGTCGCGGTCATGTGATGTCTTGCTTAATGACCACAGTGATTCACTTAATGACTGAATGGCAAGTGACATTGTAAGCCTGTCGCAGTCATGTGATTTTCTGCTTAGCGACCACAGTGCTTAGTGACGAATTGCCAGTCCCAATTGTGGTCACTAAGCAAGGACTACCTGTAATGTGCAAAGTCAGCCTTTACAGTAGTCATTGTTTAGCAACCACGACTGGCACCCGCAACTTGGTCATGAAGCAAAGCAGCCACTAAATGAAACCACGACTGTGCTTACAATCTTACTTCAGCTTTCCTTTGCTTTACAGACCTGTGAAGGGCGTAAATGTGGGCATTGGTCGCAAAGTTACTTTTTCATCACCATTGTAACTGCAAATGGTTGCTAAATAAGTTAGTCACTAAATGAGGACTACCCTGTATGAACATTTTCTTCAAGTGATGTCTCAAATTTTGCATGCAGGTTTTGTCCATTTTATCTGTGAACTGGCTTCCTGCGCTGGCAGGAAGAGGCTAAATATTAAAGATCTAGCGTCCCCAAGAAAAAGGACAGAATTTTCAGTGCCAGGTTCCTAAAAATTATGCTCGTAGATCAGAAAAGCAATGAAATAACAAATAAAACTGGCTCTCCTGAGGCCACTGTAAACCTTTTGATTTTGTAGAGCAAATTATCATAACTTAATCACAAAGCACCTGCTCTGCATGCAGGTCACATAAAAAGTTAATGGCATGTCCAGTTTTTAAAGTATCTGAAATGGAAGGGCTGAGAAAGATGTCTGCTTAAACCATAATACAGTGCAAAATATTAGGCAGCTAAACCAATGAACTGATTCTATTTTTACTGGCCGTCAGTACTGGCTGAACATCTAGTAGCCTGTACAAAGCTGAGTTTCACTCAGGGACATACAAATCCATCTTTAAAGAGGTTTTGCAAAGGAACACGGTAGTCCTGACTTCTAAAACAGAAGCAGACTCTCTTCTTCATTCTGAGTTGCTCCAGGGCTCCTTCACAGCTTGGACTAGCACTTTGATTGCTGGAAGACATTCTACGTGTGCACAAGAGCCCCTTTCAGATACTGGAAGTGCTGGTTGAAATTGTTGCCTTCATACTTCAATGAAGTTAATTGTGTCACCTCTGCAGTGTGAGGCAAATAATGCTGTCTCACACATTGCTAAGTTCATTTTTTCTTTATCAGAAAAGGAAATGGTAAATATTTCTGTTCATCTAAATTAAATCATAACAACTACAGTATAATGTCTCCAAACAGAACCACAGAAATTATAAGTTTTGGAAGAGGCTAAATATTAAAGATCTAGAATCCGCAAGAAAAAGGACAGAATTTTCAGTGCCAGGTTGTATATTTCATTTACTAACTGTACATATTTTCTGACTCTTCCTTTGTGTTGTTTGATTAAGGTTTGGCTTGTCCTTTGATGAAGTCCTGAAAACAGATTGCCTTGTGTACTGTGATGAACTTGCTTCCTTCATTGGTATAAAACCTAGTGTGCCAGCTCTACTTCTCAAAGATCCCACACTAGCAATGAAGATTTTCTTTGGCCCCTGCTCTCCTTACCAGTTCCGTCTGACTGGGCCGGGAAAGTGGGATGGGGCCAGAAATGCAATCCTGAACCAATGGGAACGAGTCCTGAAACCTTTAAGAATTCGAGTTGTGGAAGATTCTGTGAATTGGTTCTCTTACCTATTGAAAGTACTTGCCATATTTGTTATCTTTGCTGGAATTTACCTTAGTTTCAATTAGTTTTTGCAGATCACTTTGGGACAGCCAGGTGCAAATTTCTCCTTTAAAAAGGGTGTGCTACTCCAGGCCCTCAGGCATCCTCTGAAAAAAGTTTTGAGGATGATCCTCAGAGTTCTCTAAAAGTTATTACAAAATGTTGACTTTGAATAAGATTATTATATTACATTATTACATGACTGGATAGTAATCACATTAATTATATTTAATTTTAATTAAAGGTAAAAAAAGTCATAAATGTTGACCTGACCCAATTCACTACTTTTTGAAGTGCAGCCTTGGCATACCACCCAAAAGCCATCACCTGGCCCTCAGCTTCAGCCATGACACTTTCTTGGGCTTGCCACAGTCAGTCAGTTGACATAATAACTTAAAAGTCCTGCTAGAATATATAAGTCTTAACTAATTGATCTTTCTGTGGCCAGAAAAGTAGGACATGATTAAAGTTCCTGTTCCCCAAAAGCCAGTACTGAGAGCCATTGTGACTAGTATTATTGATAGATTTACTTTTCACAAGTATTTCTAATCCCCTTCCAAATCATTCAAATGGATCGTGCAGCACTCTATATTGTGGAAGCCAATTCCATAGTTTATGTGAAGGATCCCACTCTTCTTTCTAAAAGCAGTGCTTTGCAGTGATCCCAACCTCTCTCATCTGGCAATTCTAGTAGCCTTAAAAGGTTCTTATGGTTGTACAGGAATCTCTTCCTGCCTGTCAGCCCTTCAAGGTAGTCCAGGCAGGAAACCAAAATCATGAGTACTAATGGTTCTATTGCAAGGTTACAGGAACAGAATCTTGCAATTCTGAAAGCATTTCCCCTTCTGCTTTTACTTTCCAGAGAACTAGGGAGGGTCCCTTTGGAGATGCTTTCTCCACCCCCATCCCTCCTTTGGACTCAGATGTTGTTTATCCAATCATTGTCTAGGCTGCAGTTCTTCCTCCTGTCTCCCAAGGCTATTCTCACAGCCCATTACATCGCCCTTCTAGTCACCACCTGAAAGCATCAGAGGCTTTGGTGCACATGCGGATCACATATGTATTACTGGAACTGCCAGATGAAGCTTCAGGCCAGTGTGAAACACTCTGATGTGAATTACTGCCATGTCAATATGGCATCAAGCACCTCTTCAAGGGCAAACTTCGCCATCTCACAAAGGTCATTAACTATAGTAGTTAATGGCTTGAACTTACTGTTACCCTTCTTCCCTCTGCTACCTAAGTGTCATGTCTTGTAATTCTGGATCCTATAAGCATTGACCTTCAACTTCTCTTTTATCAATTCATTGATACCCTCATGATTTCAGATGGGTTAGGGTTTTGAGAAGAAAGGTATAAATCAGATGTAAAAAAGGCAATTTCCACTTAATATAAGAACATAAGAGCTCTGTCAGATCAGGCCATAGACTCATCTAGTGCAGCAGTGTGTGTCACATGGTGGCCAACTGGATGAATCTGGGAAGCTAAAAAAGTAACTTCCAAAGGGGCTCCAAACCAATCTACCTCTGTACAAAGAGATGTCAGAGCTCCATGCCAGTGCTACAGATTTAAACCATGATCAACCTTGTTTTCATTTGGAAGGCTCCCAAGCAAGAATTATCTTTTTCTTCAGAATCCCTGGCCAATAGCTGCATAAACCCACCATTCATAAGGTGCCTTGTTTTGACTGGTCTTGCAGATGCAAAATCATAAGAAAGCCAGGCTGAGAGATTTCTTTGAATGTTGCTTTCATTTCCATTTTGTTTTAATGAACTTAATAGTTTCTGTTCACAGAGCTCATTAGAGAATAAGTGTTTAAAGAAAGTTAGTTGTGTGACTGAAAATGTACTAACCAAGTCAGCCTCCCCAACCTATTACTCTCCAGATGTTTTAGCTGAATCATACCCCAAATCATCTTCATGTGGCTAGAAGCAAGGGATTTGAATCATCTAACATTCATGGTTGCAGTATTTTCCTAGTTTATTTTAACTAATTTACTTATTAATGCACTATTTACAGACAAAGAAACTAGTTTAATATATTTGGCTACCATAGGCACAAGATTCTATTTTTATTCCTACTGCAAATGTTTGCAACATCGGGACATTAATTTACTTTGGAAGACATTGTGCTGCCTTTAAAAATCATGGAAACATGTTAAGAATATAAGATGACTCAGAACCTTGCTTTCAGTATTGCTGACCCTGATCCCTTTGGAAAGCTCCCACGTGGAGGTTTCATTTGACTATGATAATTAATAGATATTATCCAATTTTGTACTCTAATTCTCACAAGTCTCAGCCACCATTGTCCATGGTCCGATGTAATGGGAATTATAATCCAAAAAACTGTGAAACTTCACAAGACCTCAATCTGAACTTTGCAAAAAGGTCAAGATATGGACCTCTTGCCTGAAGTTTCATAGCCTCATCTTAGATAAGCTCACATTTGTGATATCGGTGATAGAACCTAGCCTTGTCTTCTAAAACTTTTTTTTCTATTTCCTTTCATGTTTATCATACATTGGGGTCTTCTGCAAAGAACTTTGCTTGCACTGTGTCCAAAATATTTAAACTTTAGCTTCATTACTAGTGCTTGCAGTGAGCAGTATGGTTTTGCTTCATTTGGTATTGGATGATTTATCCTTCTTACAGTCCAAGGTACTCTCCAAAACTTTCTCATTTCCCAATTCAAAGGCATTGATTCTTTAACCTTTTTGATGGTTATATGTTAAATTGGTAAGATCGTGGCCTTGACAGGATGTACCTTTGCTGTTAAGATATTATGCTTTTAATAAGCAAATTGCACTATAAACACTTTAAATCATGTCATATTAAATAAATGTTTAACTTTAAATACCATATAATAATTAGCAGAGATTTTTTGTTTGTATGCATAGTAATAGTTAGAGAATGGAAAAGATGGCAAATTTCAGAATGGAAACAATGTTACAACATATTTTGCTTTATAGCCTTTTTATATGTTAAAATTGGTAAAGCCATGACCTTGATACGTACCTTTGCTGTCATATATGCTATGTTTCAATAAGCAGATTGTACTATAAACACTTTAAATCATTTCATATTACCTACATTAACAACTTTAAATGTCATTGCATAATTATTAGCAAAGATTTTCTGTTTGTATTCATAGTAACAGTTATAGAATGGAAAAAATGGCAAATTTCAAAAGGAAAAAATGTTACAACAGATTTTACTTTATATCCAAATGAATTATACATGCTTACATGTTAATATTTTTATAATTAGTAAACACTAGCTAAGAAAATTCAAAGGTATGTTTTCTTTTCCTAAATTACCTTCCCTAAATTGGACAATGTGTTCACTTCAACAGGTTTCTGGTACATTAGGTTGTTATTCTGTAGATTTTTATTTTTTTATTTTTTTGGTGCCTTTGAATCAGTGTTGACTCCTGGCAACTGTCTGAACAAGTCCCTGCAGTTTTCTTGCCAAGATTTCAGAAGTGATTTGCCATTGCCTGCTTCCTAGGGCTGAGAGAGAATGACTGGCCCAAAGTCACCCAGCTGGCTTCATGCCTAAGGCAGGATTAGAACTCATGTCTCCCGGTGTCTAGTCTGATGCCTTAACCACTACACCAAGCTGGCTCTTCTGTAGATAGGAACAACTGAAATGTGACATTTTGTTGGCAATTCCATATTTTGCAGTTGTTCCAGGATTCCAGAATACAGCCGCCTCCTTCCAGTGAATCATCCCAGCAAAATATTTCTCAGAGTGAATGGACAGTTTTCTTGGAGCAGAACTGTATGTTTGGACAGACCAATCAAATCTATAATATCACCATCAGCTTCTGCAAGTTGTATTTGTCTTGGAAAATTTACTTATCCTATATTGACTACAAAACTGCAAAAAAAAAAAAAAAGTGTGTATGTCTGTATGGCTGGCTGGGGAATTCTGGAAGTTGAAGTCCACACATCTCAGAGTTGCCAAGGTTGAGAAACACTGTACTAGAGGCTTGCTTGCCCATTATATCTGTGGAAATGGTTTCATTTAAATTGTGCGTGGCTGCACAGGATTAATACTGAGTCATCATCTTCTGTTAGTAACTCTCATTTCCCAGTTTTTTCCATTGAGGCAAAGACACAATAACTCCATAGTGTCTTTTGAGTCATAATACTGGGAATCCTCCATCCAAAGCCATCCTATGATACCCTTCTTTTTCTTTCTAAGCAGGACATACTGAAGAACTATACTGTTGCCAGCACAGACACCACTGCTAACCTTAGCCCTGATCTTTTCTCTTTGGAGAAGAGGAATTGGCTGTTTTTAATGCACACCCCTGCAGAGTATGAGCCCCATGAGTGTCAAGATCATCAACTTCCCTGCACTACCTTGATCAACCTATTCATATAATTTTCACATCGGTCAGACAAGTGCCATACATGCAACATAGTGGTCACAAATCCCTCTCTTCTGCATTCTGAATTCTGCTATAAGTCCTCCTCTCTGCCCAAGGGCATCAGAGGCATTTTCATGGGGAAGAAAAGGATATCAACCTTATCATTAACCTCTTAAAAATGTGCCATTCCCATCTTCCTTAATAGAATAAACTTCTTCTCATTCTTCATAAGAAGAGAATTGTTATCTAGTAACTACAGAAATGCTGATGTTACATTGATCACCAGGAGGCATCAGATGACTAGTTTTATCCTTATTGAGGCTTCTCAGACACAAGTAGCCAGATGTTATTATATAGGGCTCAAATTTCCTAACAGGAATCGAACTCATAACCTTCCCACTTAAGATGACTATATACAATGCATTTAGGAGCTATCCAATTATTTCAGGAAGGGACATCTAGAAATATTATCAGAATGATATATACAGTTCCTTCCCTTAAGCTCTCAGAGCAGACAGGTTGTTGTTCAGTCGTTAAGTCGTGTCCGACTCTTCGTGACCCCATGAACCATATTGCG